GTCAAAAAATCGAAAATACTTTTTGAAAGGTTTAAAAATCCGAAAAATCCTTCAATATGAGAACAATTCAAATTTTCGCCTTGCTTCTTCTTCTGGATTTTTAAAGTGTTGTTTCCTGATTTAGTGTTAAAACTGAGTAGAAGAATGGTGTTGGATCAATTTCGAAGTGTAAAGCCTGTCTATAAATAAGCCGTAAATAACATAGTGTATGAATTTTGAATTACGTGCATCTTATATTAGAGTAGCCTTCAGCATGTGATTTAAATTTAACCAAAGTGTGGCGTATTTTCCATATCTGCGTGCACACGTAACATTTCAACTCTAATATCTTCTAATGTTGGATTCTCTAAAGCATCTACGGCATAGCCATCGTTTGTCGATCTAAATATACACACAAATTAACATTTTCTTCAATGTAGTTTGCATATACATATAAAACAGGTTAATATGAATTTACTTTTCCACTTACAAATCAGTATCGGCAAACAGACTTCTCGCTTTACTTGCTGCCAAATCAGCCTGATGTGTGACAGATGGTATAGCTTCGCTTGTTGAACTTCGAGGATCGCTATAGCATAAATAATAGGTGAGCAATTGAATCTCATCGGCTGTAAATCCAATTTCATCATGTAACACATGATACAATGCTGGTTTATTGGTGCCCTGTAATGCTTTATGTGAATTTAAGAAAAAACTAAATTGTGAAGGATTTGTAATAGTTGTGTCAATAACTAAACCACATGGAACATTATTAGTTTGATTGTTTTCATAGGTAAACAGTCGTGTATGATGACGTTTTTTCACGACGATAAACGTCAGTAATGGTAAATCATCATCGTACATACCTAGAAGCGAGAACAAAAAACATTTCAGAATTCGTGTTCTACTTCCCACCAATATGTTGTCCGTTTCAACATATGGTACACGTGAATCTTTTTCGAAAAAATGATCGGTATGAGAGAGACACAGATAGACAGTTTTGACTCGATGAAAAAGTTGTAAAGGAAGATTCCGAGAAGAGTGTTGGAAAACCAGATCGGATTCTCATTGGGTTCAAACAGCAATATTATATTTTTCATGGAAAGATAGCCCGAAGTAGATAGAAAACAATTTATGACTATTTGAACCAATGAGAATTCGATCTGGTTTTCCAATAATCCTTGTGGAATTGCTCTATCTATAATCTTTTTCATCGAAAGATGTTCATCGACCTTCTCTCTCGATTGATGAAAACCATGTATCTTCCTCCCCCACCTCCCTCCCATCGATCGTTTTTTCAGAAAACATTCACGAGCATTGTATTTTGTAACAGATAGTAATTCAACTGAAAGAGTTACATCTGTTCATCTAAATGTTTACAATCTATTATGAACTCCACTTACGTTCAAATGCTTGTTTAATTTTGGGTATTTCATAGTTTTTAATTCTTAAAAATTGTCCATCATCTACTCCATCTCGATAAAACACCACCTTATTTGGTAATTTACTATTCCACTGTACATAATATTCTAATAGTTCATAAACCATATTTTCTATATCTACGATTGCTTCAATAGCACATTTTCCTGATTTTGGCCATTGTTTTGATACTCGAACAGCTGATGTTGAACATATTGAATCACCACTACCTACAACAGCTGCTATCGACGGTTTTTCAGCCGAACAACGATGTGGATGTAGAACATCAGCACCAAAAAACATGTACATATCCGTTTTGGATTTTTTCTTACATAACGGCACGTCTAAATTAACTGCCGTATTTTGACCATTCAACTTAAAATTTACTTTTTTAACTAAATTTTCACACATATTATCTAGAATACGATGTGGATTACCACGTTGAGTTCGATTAAATTTATCAATTTGTTCCATCAATTTACTGTATAGTAGACATTGAGTTGTTATCCCTTGAAAATAATATAAAAATCGATTAAAAGAAAAATTTACAATAACAAGTTTTTAACATACCAAAGTCTTTTGTGGCAGTTTGTTTTAATAACGAATATAATTGAGGATGTGGACTATCCAAAATACAGACAACCAATTCACATTTTGCTTTTTGTCGAGCACCAAAAAACTTTTGAAGAGTGTCGCCTAATTCCTGATCATAATCATCGTTTGGAGGATGATATACGTCAACTGTATGTTTTGTTGGTGCTAGTGCGGGTCCCATACGATAACGTTTAGACACCTAGAACGAAACACATTTCTAAAATATGAAGTTAGTACAAGTGTCATGCACTTACATTCAGAAAACTGTCGGAAAATTGGCGTACTACGTCCTTTTTCTCCAATGACATTGGGAGACCAAAGTAGACAAATGCTAATTGTTGAATTAGTCTTGGCTCAACAAATCTTCCTTTCAAATTAATTCGGCCCATATTGATTTCAGCATTATTATTATTGATAATGGGCGGCGGTAGAATACGTCCTTGTATCAACTTCATTTCCCGAATGTCAACATTTAATTGAATTGAGTTATAAAGTATGTTTTTAGGGTTATTTAATTGACAAGCATTGACAGAGTCCATGATACAATCATAACGACTTCCCGGTTTTGGAATTGACTTTAGTTGACGTGTACGCTGTTGTTCACGAGACTATAAAGTCAGACATATTTTAAATAGAAACGTATTCTGATTATCTCTACCAACTAATAAAATATACAATAAAAAAAACTTACTTCCGTTTCACATTCTTGCCATTCCAGGATTCGACACACTTCCATTGGTAAATGTTTAGGATCTTTTTTCTCGTACATAAAATAAACTTCCAAACATCTTAATTTTGTATAGTTTATGGTGATCGGTGTTTTCAGACTTTTATAATATTTAATTAAATTTTGTTTTATAGGTGCTTCAGCTACATCCCCTTCTTGATTATAAATATCAAGAATGATATTTTCTGGAATTTCTGCAAAGCCTCTAATAACGTACACTTGAGTGTGATTGGATTGTACAGTGGTGACTTTGCAATTCCTTAATACTGTTCTAGCACGATCATAATCAACCATGTTCATACCGTATTTTCGAATGTCTTTATCCAACTGGATCGAAACAAATTCTAAAATATCCATATGTGGATAGAATTTTGTTAGCGTTGTGTCTACATTCAACGTAGGGCCTGATTGCGTTAAACAAATGGATTGAAAAAAACCGGATCGCAATTCAAATCCATCGTCTAATACCTCTGGCTGTTGATCTTTACGATAAAAAACATTTTTCTCACAATGAGCTATTTTATTCATAGCTTGTTTGAATAATGTTTCTAAAATGCGAACAGCGTTATGAGGAGGTGGTGCAGGGATTTGATTTTTGATGTAATCCCAAATTGTGCGTGTTGACCATTGCGCAGCTAAAATTTTGATAATGAGACGATATTGAGTCGATTGTTGTGTGGGTAAAGAAGTAGTTATTGGTAGATGGCTGGTTAGATTTGTAGTGCTGTATAAGCATTTCCCTTCATCATACCATACCACACATGCTGGCTTAATAATATTTTCATCGATTAATGCATTGACAAATTTACGTCGCTGATCTCGGCTGGACACTTCAATCCAAGTCTGACTATTCAATAAAAATTTCTCTACCACTACATCGTATTGGTAAAGAATCATATTCTTCGCAAAATCAATGTTAAAATGATTTGTATAGATTTGAATACGGTCACCGGCTTTCCCATCTACGGGAGGACGTGCTGGAAGCACAATTCGAGTGTCTAAAGGGGGTTCAGGAATGGCTGATGTAATAGGAATGCGTTGAGGACGATTCCTAAATCTTCCTCTGTTTGGTTGTGCCGGCTGTTGTTTTGGTATCACAGAGGCTTCGGAAGAAGGTGGCACGTCTGCGACCAATGGAGATGGCATTGGAGAAATTATCGAAGATTGAATTGGTTTTATATTTACTCTTGTTTCTACTGTTAATACTGTCAGTTCGTTCGCACTCGGCAATATGTTGCTTTCTAAAACTTTAGTCTAGAACAGAATTGAAATGCCAGGATTAGAAAAAAGGAATGAAAGACAAGAACGGAATAGCATCAATCTTTTATTTTCGTACCGAAAATCACTCTGCTTCGAGGTTTTTTCTTAGTATCTGAACTACATTTAGTTTAAAATCTTAATCGACGTCGCTTGCTTTGCTTTTGCTAAGTTACAATAGTGTTAGATGCCTTTTCTCTCGAGTGTACATTACCATTATGTTTCTGAATCATCACACTCATGAGAAGAGAAAAAAATTATAAAAGTAGATGAATAGGAAGAAAAAGGTTTAAACTATAGACAAAAACTATGATAACTAATAACTCTTCCAAGCGATTAACAGAGTGTATGATGAATCGATAGCAAAACCAGATATGAATTCTTACCTCTGAAGAGTTTGTTGCAGTACCACCATTGTTAAGAGTGCAGTGAACATTCACAGATGCTGCTAATTCATCATCAACATCTCCATTTTGCGTAGGTACCGCATTGCGCTTCTCTTTTCGACGAGCTTTCTTACTATTTTTAGGGGGCATTTCTGTTGGATCTAAAATGATAAAAAACACGTGTATCAGCCCGCATCTAATCCTTCGGTACGATGAAAGCAATACCGATACTTATTTATATCTGTTATGAGCTTTAGCTTTTTATTTTATCTTACAATTATATTTCGACTTGAATAAACAAGCTCTTATATAATTTAGAAATCTTATTGGTTTTTTCCAACTACGTCAGCATTTTTCTCTTTATTGAGTAAGTCAAACAGTTAAAATATTTCAGAGAGTACAAATATTGATTATGAAAAGACAAATACTTTTTTTCTATCCTCTTGTTCTTTTGTGAAGTTAAATAATTTCTACACGAAAGCGTTGTTTTAATTATTGCGCAATTCCTAAAGAAGTATCGCGTGACTTCCTAAACAAAGTTTGAGAATGCCTCAAAATCTTAAGGATATTTCATAGAACATGTCTTTCCGTAGAACTGTATACGAAGTCGTTAGAGATTTGCTATCTCTCGAGAGAATTTGCGTACACTTTAAGTAGTGCCTAATATTTTTCATTCTCATGAATGTACTCGGCAGAAAGGGACAAAAATAAATATGCAGAATAGAGTATATATGTCGTGCAGAAGACCTATAGATCTGCTAATGTTATGCTTTCTCCAAACTGTAAAAAATAGTTTTACTAAGTGTGTAAATCTTCTAAACGTTCATTCGACATCGAAAAATGTGCACCTTCTCTCGATGGTCAATCTTAGTGTGTAAAGACTCTTTACAAAAATTTTTACCGTTACCGCGGTAATCTCGTTTTTCGGTAAATTCATCTTACCGTTACCGCGGTAAAAAGGCTTTTACCGTTACCAATGGTAAATTACCGGTTACCGCACATCCTTAGTAAAGAGTTAGGTATGTTAAAAAGATTTCTGATTTTCCATTTTTCCACTGAACTACTGTATCAAATGAAAAAATAATTTCAGAATCATAGTTACCATCTTCGAATGTATGCTGTCATTTCCAGTAAAAATGAATAAGAAAAAAACTGAAAAAGAAAATCCGTCATCATACGGTAGATTTGAACAATAGGGTATACCGGCATTTGGGCACGCGACATTTGGGCGCAACGACATTTGGGCGCAGCGACATTTAGGCGCAACGACATTGGACGCATCTACGACAAAAGCAAACAGAAGTAGTGCATGTGTTAAAGTATGCTGCAAAACGATAAAATTCTCTTTAAACAAACTTTTTATGCTGTGAGAGCTTCTTCTATATTACTCATATCCAACTGTAACCACCGTTTCTTTAATTTTCATCGATACTCACACTCACCCTCACCCACACCCACGCCGGTATCTTTGAACTTCAACTATCGCTGCACCCAAATGTCATCGCGCTCAAATATCGTTGTCGGTGTGTAGAGCCAGACGGTCACTTCTCAGTGTGTACTTTACACAGCTACACCGTGCATTTTAGACGGTTAGTAGGAATCGACTTGGCGTTCACTTTATATATGTCATTTAAACACTTTATTGTTTACAGTGCACAACATTTCTATGTATATGTAGCATAATCAGCTGTAACAGCGCTCATGTTATTCTTTTTTCTCACGCGCTTTCTTTCAAGTGAGTGAAACTATATTGGGTATTTTCTATCAAAGCAGATCTGCTTAGTGTTTACTTAAACAGTAAAAGAAAAAAGCTATTGTGCATGAAAAATAATCAAGTGATAGCTCTATTAATATATTTTGTGAATGAATGTTGACTCTTCAGCAGACTTAAACTGCATGCTTTTGACGAATGCTTTCATGTTGTTGACATATAACATTTCATTTGTAAATACCAAGTGTGCGCAGTATGGTTTTTTTTAAAATTCATGCTCATAAATGGACGATGAAAAGAGAGATGTGTTTTCACGTAAAAAAGCTTACTATCTTCAACAAAGTGTTTCACCTTTATCATCGTTGAAAAGCTGTATATATACGAGTTATATATATGGTCCTACTCTTAAACTTCTAGAAATCATACAAAATAAATTCTCTCCGAGATAGTTTACCAACAGTTATGAGAAGTTCCAGTTTTGAGGAGTCACAGTTCTGCAAGTGTAAGTAATCGGTGAAAAACCGTAACTGATACAAAATAAAAATATAATAAAATTACCGTGAAAGTTAAATTGAATTCTGATATAGTTCTAGACTTACAGTGACTCACAAAACTGCTCATCTATCTTAGTTATCAATGTTCCTTGCAATCATAATAGTAATAGGTCTGAGAGAAATGATTTGAACAGTTGAAAGAGTTTACATTATAGTGTCGGGTATGGTTACGGGTAGAGCAGTTAGGGGTACGGGTTTCGTTTTTTATTATTTAAGAGAAAACCGGATGGTTTCAGTGGAAAAGCACAGAATTTTGGTGGAAAGATGCAAGATTTTAGCTAAAATACATGAAGTTTTAAAAAGCAGTTACTTGACAACGTAATGCTAATTTGTCATCTTTAGCCGAAAGACAAAAGTTTTTAGCTGGAAAACGAAAAGAAGAAAATGTTTAGGCATAAGTCGGGTACGGATGGAAAAAAAATTTTTTGGTCGAGTACGGACACAAAAACGGTACCCATGCACATCTCTAGCATGAAGATTCCATCAGAATTGCTTTAATCCAAGTCTCTGAAAAACTAAGTCTCCCAAATTTGATTGAGGAACTTTTTGCAAATAACTTCATCGTATGAAGCAAACGCTTATGAACAAAACGAGACGTCTCTGAACAACCCACGACATTTTTTCGTGGAACTGTATTCAGTTGACGAAACACTCCGACAGCATACCCTGATTTACTATTAATTTCTCCTGTATTGGTGGTTGGGGGCATTTCGTCATTCAACTAATTCAAGGAAACTAAGATGAATGAACAATTTTATGAGTCAGTGTATAGTGGTGTGTCTAGCTAGTGCAGAACTCTATTGCTCTGTCTACTTTACAAAAAAAATTTCAATAATTCCTTAATGGTAATAAAAACGTCTGTGAAACTCAATTTTGATAAAAAGTACTACTTTACATACAAAAGATAAGACATCGAGAAAATATGTTTATTCAAGACTCATATGATATCAGGTAAAACTAAAGCCAGTATGAGTTTTCGGAGAATTGACTGCTTTTTCAGTAAATGTGCTTTAGAAAAAGGAATAAGTTGACCAGTATCTGAAAACATTAAATAGGTCTAGTTAACTGTTTTTCCGAAACGAATGAAAAACTTTGACAATTTCTATGGTTGAAACATGGATCGAAAGACAACTTATTATATCGTATTTGAAAGAGCGATAAAGTTTCTGTATTTATATACTTTTAAACGTATTCAATTATAGGAATCTGGAGAAGACAGAAGTTACAAGAACGTTTTTGGTGATAAAATGTGATAATAATTGCAGCTGTTTTGAACTTCATACCTGTATTTGTTGATATTTCGACCTTTAATCGGTCATTTTCAAAAACATAAGCAGAATAACTGTACAAATAATGAAAACAACTACTTTCTTTCTCTATTCTTACTGAAATCGAGAAAGAAAGTAGTTGTTTTCATTATTTGTACAGTTATTCTGCTTATGTTTTTGAAAATGACCGATTAAAGGTCGAAATATCAACAAATACAGGTATGAAGTTCAAAACAGCTGCAATTGTTATCATACTTTTAACTCGAAAATCGTTGACCTCGTACAGAGGTTTTTGGTGAGTATTTAAGTTAACATTTTTTTCACTCGAACTCAGCAACAAAAAATTTTGGTATCCATGTTTTTTGAAGCTTAGACTTTGGACTTCTCAACGGAAAAATGATTAACTTTCCAGGACATCGGGACATCTGTAGAAAGACTAGCTCCAGAATTAGTTTTGCATCATAGATTATAAAGTCACACGAAAATTAGAGTTGTGACAAACGTTTTGGCTTGTCATGCATTTTGTTCTAGGATTCAAATAGAATATCACATGCAAACAGGGGTCTGAAATTCGATGACTCATGGAGGACAGAACAAAAGAATCACCACAACATTCCTTTGTTCTGTCTCGCATGAGTCACCAAATTTGAGTGCAAATGTATTTCTTGTGAACCTTGTAACCTCTTATAACTGATCAATTAATACAACAGTTGAGTTCGTATTCTTAACACTCATATTTCCGTTCATATTCTGTAGTGCTAATTGTAACATCAACATCATTATTAAAAATGGTTGTAAACATTCGTTTTATAAACACATTTTTCTTTTAAAAACTGTTATCTAACGCACAATATATATTTACTTCAAAACAAACATATAGCAAGAGGATAAAAAAAGTCTTTCAATATGACAGACTTTTTCTAGATACTCACGATTACGAAAAATATTTAGAGTTTTTGGGTGATACTCTACACCTTCGCACTAGAATAACTGATATTCTCCATTTATATGCAAGAAGCGATGAGTCATTCTCCTTTTTTAAGTGTTCTAGTCTACTCGCTAAACTATAATCTTTTTTACATTATTTAACATTCTCGGCTCACACAAATATCTAAAAATCTGTTATCGTTACGTTCATCATTATTTCATTATAATATTTGATTAATGAGTCAATTTCTAGATGAGTAATAAGAGAATATGCTTTATATATTTTACATACCTTTATGTTATTGATATCAAACAAAAAATGAATGTTATTTCTTTCTTTTCTGTTTCTTAATAATAAAATATTATGTCTATTGTTTTTGTTTTTTTTGTCACTAGTTATCTTCTTCGTTCTCACTTTTCTCTTTCTGTTTTATTAATGATATTATTACTGCTGGAAGTGCTGCTGTTTTAATAGAATTCAAAAATGGGTATTAAGTTAAAATCTTGGGTTTTAAGTCAAAATCTGAACCAATCAAAACTGAAACAACTTCGAACTATTGCACATTGTACAAAAAATTTCTGTGGGTATTTTGAATTACATTCAAATAGAAACAGAAAGAAAAAGAATTTA